TTGTTTCAAATGTATTTTTGTGCTAGTCTTACATTAATTTATGTCACATCTTTTCAAAATGTTTCTCTTTCATAATTACTTGGCGTGTGCTAATTTTGATATTAAATTGCTGCATTATTTCTAGGTATGATTTCCCATAATTCCATGTTGGTTTTAATTTTTTTCAATGGTGTTTTGTAGATTAAAATAACTTAAGTAGGCTTCAACCTTTAAAAGTAATTTATGTTTGCAGATATTCTACTTAACATGCAGTCAGACTTTTTTTAATTATGAAGAACCCAGCTGAGATATGATCTACTTTTCGCTCTATGTTCTTTATTGCTGAGTTCATTCAAGCCTGTAGTGGATGTGGTGCTGAGAGAGTGCTGACACCAAGTGCAAACACTGCTGAAAAGTTCTTGATAGTTTACTTTAGGCACTTAAAGATTAGTATATCTCTCTATGAACAAGTTTTTCATGCAGATTTGACCTTTACTCTAGGATATAATATGTCTCTTAGTCATATGTTAACACGTTTTCCCACCCTGCTCCTTAGCGCTCCATTCATAGTTGTCACTACCAAAGTCATCCTTTTCCTTTGTTTCATAGCCAAAATAAATTATTAAAACTCCACCAGCTTTATGGAAAGGATGGATTAGCAAAGAATTTGCTCCTTTTTTTCCCTGCTCGTTAGCGTGTGTTTCAACTGCTAGATACGGTTCTTCATTGTACAATGTGTTAAACTTGTTAGAAGGAAGTTATTTTAAGTTTCTGAGGAAAATGAATTGTTAAGGAGCATGCACGTGTATGTGTCCGTGAATGAAAGTAGTAGTACAGTTTGTTACAGTTGAAAATAGAGCAGTTTTCATATATTGCAGATGTTTTAAACATTCTATTCAAGATCCATGTTTAATTGTTAACCATCAGACCAGTTGGTGGGTTGGTCTTGCAAATGTTTTTATATAGCTTGAAGAATGTGTATTTTGGGGTAATTCATAGGATTGTAGAGTGGTTTGAGTTGGAAGGGACCTTAAAGATCATCTAGGTCCAACCCTCCTGTCATAATTGTTTGAAATGTGATTATATTTTTCTCTAAAATGTACAGGTGAGCAGGAATATGTCCATTTGCTGACTGCAGGCAAGCACTTGAAATTGCAAACCAACAAATATATTAATCAGCAGAATTTTCTTGGCATTTGTTGGAGTGATTACAGCTTAGGTATGGTTATATTGAGTTAGGTAAAGGCTCCTCCTTGCTTGTCGTCTGTCCTGTCTCCAACTACAGACACAAAGAGGTGCTCAAAAAGAAGAAAACAGGCTAAGCAAGTGTAATACTTTTCCAATCTCCGGCTATTTTTTGCTCAGGGTATTTTCTGAATTGGATGGAATTTCTGTGTATTTAAGCAGTATCAATATATTTATTGCCTTTGTGTAAAGAACCACCTGCATTCTTTGTTTTGAAACTTGCTCCTGCTGTCCACTGCTGGTAGAAAAAGCTTTTGGCCAGGCCTGTTTGAGTAAATAAGAGTTTCCTGAAGTGTTAGAACTGAACAAAGATACTCAGACTGAGTAGGAAGCCAACAACAAATGGAAAAGAAAAATAAATAGATGTGACACTGGAAAAATCAAGTTCAAGGCAGAAATTTTTAGGAACCTTCACTTATCTAATGATGCCATATGATTAGAGAAATACCTTATTTTTAAGAAAGGAAGTACGAGGACTGAGTAATATAAAACACTTTTTAAATGCATCTGAAGACTGAATTAACTACACACACATGTAACTGCAATGAAATAAACTGGGATGTATGATTACTAAAGACTATTTGCTAGACTAATCTCGTTGTTAGTTATGGTCTAATGCATTTAGTTGGTGTTTGTATTTCCTAGAAAAAAGTAAATGTAGTAATTTATGAGTTTTATTAGAGCACTTGGTGCTGTCATATGAGTGATCATTAGTTGGAGTTAATTAAAAAAACCCACTGTAAAATAGATTAAAAACCCCAACATGATTCAAATGGGACAACAGGTCATGATATCAACCTTGAGGGAGATTATTAGTTTCTGAAAGGAGGGGTTTAAGACCACTACTGTTTAATGTTTTCATTTAATGACCCTTGTGCGAGCAGTAAGAATGTGTTAATGAAACTTGTTGATGATATGAAATTAAAGCTATAGAGAACTGGGATATAATTTTGCTTATGACAGAGTTGTATATAAAGGAAATATAATATGTTATCCTATACGAAATTAGAATTCAGATTAATTTTGAAGCCCCATTTCAGGAAAGGATATAGTACTTGCATTTTGTCTAGAGTACTTAGGGAGTTGTTCATAGTTCCTATTAAGGAAATAGGTGAAACATTAGCAATAAGTTAGGAAATCTCCTTATCAGGCATAGTATTTGAATAAAATGTGCTTGCTTTGTGGTAATGGTTATTTTTCACTGTAGCTATTTGTGATAGTGTTTAGTGCTTCTGGTTTTTTCCCTGCTTCACTATTGAGCGTACAGTGACCAAAAGCATAAAAATTAGATTATGTCTCTCAGTTACTAAACATTTATAGCCATAGGAAATGCTGGTCAATTAAGTACAGCTTAGAACAGGTATGAAATTATTGACTTTGTTGATCTTCCCTTACAGTCCTTCCTTAGGAAAGTGCTGAAATGTGTTTTGTAGTTATTTAGTTGCATTAGTGGTTGAGTTTGAAGCTTTTAATGTGTTTTTTCCCTAATACTTTTGGGAGATGGATAACTAAGATGTTGATATAATAATGCAATATGCAGACTGAGTGTAATTGTTTGAGAGTGAGCATATGCTGTGGGGAAATACTGAATGGATCATGAAAGATGAAGACCATTAGTCTTTTCTTTCAACTATTAAAATTAGCTTTAGGGTGTGTTCAACTGTGAGTTATGAAATTGTTTAGACTAACACCTTCTTTGATGATGTCTGATATAGAGAAAAATGCTGAAAAGTATCATTATAAATGCACTTTCTTTTCACTTTTGGCAGCCTCCATCTTCACCAATTAAATTTTCAAGTGTTATTGTGAGTTCTTTAAAGAGCAGAACAGCAGATGGACAGTGTCAGAAGAGGAAAAATTATTCCGCTTTTCTTGAGTTTTCTCACATTTAAACTCACATAATAGTTTGTTATCATCATATGAAACTAAATATTTGGAAACTGATAATACAGTGAAAAAACTCTTACAGGGAGTACTTGCATATGTTATTTTGTGGAGAATATTAGAAGTTAAAAGACTTTTTTTTTCATTTGAATAACTGCTTCTTAAAGCCACTTCAGGCATCTTCCAGGCTAACTTGAAGTCATGCAGTGGGGACCATGAGAAGGTAAAAGGGCAGAACTGGGGGAAGGATGGTGGAGGAAATGTTGGTAAGACATATGTAGCAATAAGGACCAGTGGTGCTTCTTGATGTAACCTCAAAAAAAAAAAAAACCCAACCCCCCATATGTGAAACAGAACTTAGCTGGTGCTTAGAATGCTGACTTTTTATTAATGCATGTAAATAAACTAGTTACATGAAAAGCAGTCACAAAGTCTAATTATTCTACTCTTAAATCTGACAACTTGAAAATCGTACTACATTGTTGCAGCTTAAACATGGTAAAACAATGTGTTGGGCCTGGAACACATCAAGCCTCGAGAGATCAGTTACAATCATTCCCCTGCGTTTCAAATTTGGAAATCTTCCTTGGGTGGGACGGGTGGACAGGATTTAAGTTGTACATAAACAACATTGTTCTAGTGGCTTGTGTGTGTGTGGCTTTTGTTTTGAGCAGTCCTTTGTGTCACTGACTGACACAAAGTGATTCTGCAACGCTGAGCACCAAAATCCTGCTATGATGCTGCATATTAAAACCTTCTACTTTCAGAAATCTGAAACTTGAAGTCTGACATATTTGCAGTTTTGTACTTTTTGCCTACCTTGGAGCTGATGAGGTTTTTGAAAAGAACCATAGTGGTGGAAGTACTGATGTAGGTAATCATTAGGATTGTTATTTCATACAACAAAGACTAAAAAGTCAAGGAAGCTGCACGTGAAACTTGACTCTCTGTCTGCTGCAGAATCAGTCTTTTGTATTAGATTATAAGAGTTGTAGAATTTAAATTGAGAGCTGTATTTCTCCTGGTCTGTTCAAATGCCTCTACATTTGCACCAAAATATAAGGTTTACACATTTACTACCCTAATTTCTAGCTCGGTCAACTTGTTACTTGGTTGAGGACAAAAAATCTACTCTGTGTTTTTGTTAACCAGTTCTCCGCAGCTTTCAAGTGAGGGAAACAAGCCCCAGTGACAGGTCATCTGGGTTGGTTGCTTTCCACTGTGTCTGTTATGGGGGCCAGGCAAAACCCACCTACGTGTTTAAGAGGTGTAGAATTTTGCTGTAATTCAGAGTTCAACTGTGTTTAAGGAATGTGCCGCGCGTGTGTCTGCCACTACCATCATTTCAGTGTGTCAAAAAATATGTTAAATTTTTTTGAAACAGACTTGTGTGTTAATGGTGCAATATTTGGATTGTTAACAGATTTTTTTTTTTTTTAGTAGAGGTGGCTGTGGAATGCTGGAGTGAGGATTGTTTTCAGCAAATATGCTAACTAGATTTCAAGCTATAAGAGAAACTTGTGTCTAACGAATGAACCTTGAATTAATATAAAACAGTTTCTAGCATTGTCAGGATTCAGTAAGGCAAAAACCATCAGTGAACCAGGCTAAGTTCAGAATTATCACATGGCATAGCAAAAGAAAATGATGGAGTCCTTTGTGGGATGTTTTTGTATTTTCTTCTCCCCTCAACAGAATATGACCTTGAGTAAACAATCCTGTCCTGTTCCTTCATGCCTCCCTGATTAGCACACAATTAATGTCTTGGATGTTTGCTAATGCTGGTGTAAGTTGCTAAAACTGAAAAAGTGTGTAATTTTTATTGCTGAAAATGTCTCTTCTTAGTTTTATTTTCATACAGCTATAGTTTTCTCTCCTTTTTTCCCCCACAGGAGTGGCAAAACTCTATACAGAAGAATGCTGGCCTTGCCTTTATTGAGCTTGTCAATGAAGGAAGGTAAGTCACAATATTCGATAGCATCTCTCTCTTAGCCTTCAGGAAGTTGTGTGGCTTGAAATTTTTTTAAAATAGTTTTTCTTTTTCCTATTTGTGTCATTTTCTTTAAGTTTCACGAACATGATTTCATATTCTTTAGTACTTTGGTTCCATTCTGTGCATGGGATTTTGCAGAATCTGTGTGCTCTTTAGTGTCATTAAATATTTTGCTTATCTGTGTGTAATGGATTTTCTTTCTTCCTGTCCTTGTGTACTGTTTAATGTTGAAACTATAATTTGTATTCAGCTAATCTCTTGAGAAAGGGAATTGATATTTGAGAGACATTATAGCTAGGAATGGTAAGATAAGCCTCTGTCTCAAAAATTAGTTTCCAGTTTGCTCATTTATTTCCGATCTACCTCATAAAATAGAAAGGAAGAGAGTCCCTTTAAGGAAAAAAAAAATCTGTTAATATTGCCAATTAATTTTATGTTCTATCCGTAGCTTTATATGTATATTATTGGAACTTACAGAAAATGACAGAGCAGGTGATGAGGCCATGCTCTTTGACTTGTAGGGACTATTCAGAACCATCAGTATTTTCTTCAGTAGGAATTGAATGTTGAGGCAGACAAGAGCAATATTTACTTTTTTTCTAAAGGACTTTTTTTAACGTGTCTTAATGAATTAGCTAAGGAGTGCTACAAGAAAAGCCATTTCTTTAAACTTAAGTTCTGTTAGTAACTTCAGCTCATAAGAATCCCCACAGAATATTTTACATGACTAGAACAGCTACTGAATTAAAAGCAAAATCATTTATCACTTAAATTAATATGCTATATAAATATCTTTTTGTCACTGTAGCAAAGGGAAAAATGGCTATTTGAGAATTTTTCTTTTAAAATGTGTAGATGTTCTCGAGATACATAAAAATAATGGCCATTTTGATGGTTACGTTTTAGTTTATGGGAAACACCATTCTCAGACAGAAAAAACATTTTGCTACTAGTCTTGATCCCCAGGGCCAAGGTAAAGTAACAAGGGTGTTCAGTTACAGTGTTAAGATCTAGCCTATAGTTGTTTCCTATTATGTGAGGCTGACCTGTCTTGACCTTACTTACAAAATGCCTGCTATAAATTTGGCCCTTGATTAATGTTTTATTAGCATAGATAACATAGAGATCCCACACACATGTAAACCACAATGTAAGGTTCGTCTGTGTAAGATGATTATCGTGAACAAATCAGTTGCTGAGACTGAGCTGTAAGGAGCAGTTACCTGGTAGCTATTCACTCGTCCAGGTCAGGCTTTCAGAGAGCATTCTATCAGTAAACTGCTTGGAATTGACTGTTTTCTCTTCAAAACCTGCAGTGCCCATCACAGACAGATGGAATCACTCCCCCACCTCCATAAACAACATCAATAACGTATAGTCTGGCCTGAGCAGAGTGGTTGTCTCGGGGACAAATGATCCCTTGAAGACTGAAAAGTGTGGTTTTGGTTAGAAGAAAATGTCTAAGTAATTGTTACTTCATTTCTGACTTGTAGCAGAGTTGTGTTTTGTAGTGGTGTGTTTTGTTTTTTGGCCTTTTTTTTTTTTTTTTTTTTAAAGTGGGAACATAACTTTCATTAGGGTGAAGAGAAGAGGGGATTAATTTCTTAAAAATAGCTCCTCTTATCTGTCTCCATTTTCCTCCATTGCCGTTTATAGGAGCCTTTAATGTTATTGCTGAATCGGTCATTGCAGTGTTTTGTGGCTTTTTAGCATTTACTAGAATGAAACTATTATCCCTCATATGGCAGGAACTGTATTCTGTATTTCTTCTCTTTATGCAGTTTTATTTTCCATGGGCGTAAACTAAGACTAAAACACTTCCGGCCTTGGATTTTATTTTATTTGCTATTTTTTCTGTATTTTTGCCATAACATTATAATCTTAAAAACTCCAGAAGCTGAAGTCTTTTAATTAAAACTTGAGAAAATAGATACCCATTCAGACTTTAGCTACATAGTTGTATAATAAAAGCTGAATTTTAAGTCATTAAGCACACAAGAAAAGAAGAGAAGGTTGTACAAAGGATGGAACTGGTTCAGCAAGTAAGGAAAGATGTCTGTATTGTACCATGGAATGAGAACTGGAATAAATAAAATAAAACTAAGGACTGGAAGAACTGTCTAGAATTTGTGGAATCACAGAATTTCTGTTGTCTGCTGCCTTGGTGGAGAAAATCTTGCTCATCCTATAACCTTTGTAAACCACGGATTTGTTCCTGATACTTATTACTAGTTTTTTGGATTAGCAATGCCAGAGGATATTCCAGTGTGGGATGTGTTCTATTGGTTTTGTTTATCAGGCAAATAAGATGACTGAAGAAATCTTTCTTGAAGACGTCTGGAAGAGGAGATATAAATCTCTTCCTATACTTGCTTTCAAATATATATTTTTTTTTGTTTTTTTTATGTGAAACGTATGAATGTACCTCTCTCTCTCACAGCGGTTGAAAGTTTTATGTTTAGGCTTGCCGTGTTTTGGCTGGGATTCCCTGGGCAGAAATATGTGCAGAAAGTTTTTCCCTGGGACTCAGAAGGTCTCCAGTGTGTGTGCTGCGTTCAGAATGTGGTTGTCTGAATTTTGTCGTGTTCACAAGTAACTGATGTGTTACACACACAGCTGCTCGCAGGCTTTCCAGGTGTATCACATCCACTTCACGTTTATAGCAGAATTGATTGGTTTGTGCCCAGTGAAATTTTGAATCTTGAACTGAAAAAAACCTCTCTAAACAGGAGGTTTTTTCTATGGAAATACAGAACTGTAAACTGAAACACACAACTGAAGTCCTGAAGGACAGTTTACAAGCTTAGTTAAAAGGAAAAAACCCGCATAGGAAACCAGGAAGCTACAGAATATAAGTGAAAAGGTAGAGGAGCAGGTATGGGAGAATAACTTCTTTCTGTGCTGAAAAAGAAACATCAGTGTCAGTACATTGCTACACTGAACATTAATCTGTTTTTAATAAAAAAGAGTAAGTATTGTTCGCTATTATTGTAATGTCTGGGAACACTGTTAATGCTCTTTGAAACCTTGTTAAAAAGGTGCCTGTACCCACGGCTTCTCCACGTACTGAACCATCTGTGCAGCAGAAGGATAGGTTGCAAAATGTTTTCCTTAGCCTGCTGAACTTCTGTCAGTCTAGATTTCATTCTTTGTGCTTGCCTTTCACCTTCAGGTCCTCCCTTTAGGGAGAGTCTGTTTTGGAACCTGAACCTGAGAGCTTACTGATGAGGGAATTTGTTCACCAGAACCATCCCTTAGGTGTGATCTAGTTCACTGTCATGGCCAGGAGACTTCAGAGGTGTCCAGATTGATTCCTTCTTTTCACCCTGGAATTAATTATGTCTCCTCCTTATGCACAAGATGGTCAAGCTATTACTTATGAACTTAAAAAAAACCCAAACAAACAGCTTCGTTTTATTTCCTTGCAGGTACAAATGTCTCTTTTGTTAGACTCTTATTTTCTCTACTTGACTAGTTAGCAAACAACTCCTTTGCTCTGTGAAGGTTAAAACTCTCTCCTGTCGCTTTGATTCATTAGCACACTTTAGTGTGAAGCATCTCTTATGCTGGACCTTGTTTTCTGTATCAGTCAGGGCACTAACAAACGTACTCGAGCTGGAGACTAGGCATGACAGTTATTATCCCCTTTGGGGTGATAATGGGTTTGGCATGGCAGGGGTTGAGGGATCAGTCTCCTAAGCATGCTGCAGCAATTATTCTTTCCAATTTGCAGTTCAATAGACTCTTGAAGATGCTTAATTTTAATTTTCTCAAGCATAGTTTTCTTGACCATCCAAAGAATTGCAGACTAGTGTTCTATACATACATGTTTATCCACTTGTAAATGAATATTCACACAACAGTTGCTTTGAAAAAATATCACATAATGTTTGGTGGAAAGATAACCTCATTAAACCAGCACAATCTATGTTTAATTTCTTCTTCTTTGCTTTTTCAAATCCTTATCCAAACCAAGCAACCCAAAACTCACAAGTGTATCCTGGAATTCACATGTGTATCCTGGAGAGGCAAAACTAATGAAATGTGTCATTCTGTAGCTTTTTCTTATTGCTACATTCTCTGTTGTCTGATGAGGAATTAAATCTGATCAGAGTTTTCCCCTCCATATCAGGAGAGTTTCTAATGTGTCTTTTGGTGTAGTTGAAAATGGGGTGGGTTGGTTGGTTAGTTTTTTTTCATTTGGTTTTTCCCAAAAGGATACTTGCAAGGATTTTTGTGCTCTGTTGGATTTAAAATTATTATTTTTTGAGAAACCGTAGCCTTCTATTAAAAATAATTGTTGTCATTATCCAATTAATTCAACATTTTTTGAGAGAAGAAGGAAGGCAGACAGCATGCAAGTTTAACATCTTTAGCAAGTAAAAAATTCCACCAGCCAAGCAAAAAAAGGTCCCAAACCTCTCCAAATGTAACTGGTATTTTTCTCTCGATACATAACATCTAGCAGTATAAAATCTGGAATGCTGTAATCATCTATATTTCTATAGCTTTTCTTTTTAAAAACTGTACTAAGAAAATTTCAACATATGTCACCTGCTGTTCCTTGTCTTAAATTGTATGTATTGCTTTTGACTGATCATATATGCAAATATTTTTAATATTGAAATTCTTGGCAATCAAACTAGTTGGCCAATTACTTGGACTCCTTCCGAAGAGAAAATAGGGGACAGATGTCGACTGCCCCACTTGATTGTCTTTCACTTGCAGCACTGTGGTCACTCTCAAGGAATGAGTGTTAGAGTGTGTGTTGCCATAGGAGCAACTCCTGTGATGGAAAATAGTTGGAAAAATACAGCTACTAATGAAAAAATGGATGATAACTGACAGACTTGGTGCATAATTGACCAGAAAAGGCTCAGGAAAAAAAAAAAAGGTAAATGCAGTCACGTCCAAACCAGTCTGCTCCCCCCTCTTGCTGCAGCCTCCTTGTCCTGAGATTCTGA